AGCCACCTTACCTACCATGCCACTGGCTGGCCCTGACACTATTTGGTATCAATGTTACCTGCCTGTTTCATTTTTCAGTTTTTATGGCAGGTCATTTATTTCTTTTTTCCAAAAATTTGCCAGAGGGTGTGAACACTTGTGGAAAGAGAGAGAGGGCAAGTGAAAAAGCACCCCATTCCCCCATGGGGAGTGGTCATGCTGCAATCCCTTCTCCTCCATTTCTCCCTTTTTTTTTGGATTTTGGAAGTGCACACATGTGCCTGGCATGTTTTTTCAAGCCACCAGGTCTGAGACTTGATCTGCAGAGCCGGCCATGTGAGATCCAGCTGCCTTCACCACCACACCACTCACTGACTGGCCCTGCAGGCCATGTGAGATCCAGCTGCCTTCACTACCACACCACTCACTGACTGGCCCTGCGATAGGTGAACTTATGCTTTTATGTTTTTTCTTCTCTATATCTGGGTGGTATGACAGGGTAAAGTCATGACTCATGTTTTATCTTTTTTCTGAGATAATTTGCTTTATCAGTATGTGCTTTAAGAATTCAGGAAATTTTTCACTGGAACAGATGGTAGTAAATCAAAATGCTTGGCTGTGGGCCAAAAGATATTTTATGTGTAGGTCGCAACTAGGGAGGGCTTCCTACTCTTGATGTTGAGTGGCTTGTGCTTGTGTAATTTCTTTTTTCTTTCTTTCTTTCTTTTTTTTTTTTTAGAATTACATATTTAATTTTTACTTATTTATTAATTTATTTTAATTTGACTAGAGAGAGACGCCCAGAGAGAGAAAGAGAAGGAAAGCATGAAAGCAAGCCACCAGATTCAGGATTCAAACCGTGGTTGGCCTTGTGCAAATGTCCAGCACCTTAGCCACCATGCCACATGCCGGTCCCTGCTTGTGTAATTTCTTAAGCATTCTTTTAGTTGAATGATTTTCTCTTTTACTACATAGATACACAACAACTTACAAAAATGCCTTGTTTTGACAATTGAGTGATTTCTGTTTTGTTGGCTAATATTGATTCCATTCCATTTGGTTGGCTCCTAGTTCTGTGTTGATCTTATTATTTTGCTTTTGTATCTTCTGCATTTTTTTAGGGTTGTTCCTCTTCCCTTTCAGGCTGGCTAAACTGTAAGAATAGTTCCTTTATTTACAGCCTGTTTATGCTTATATGTGTATTGAATTATTACATAATAATTGACTCATCATACAATATTCAGAAAACATAGAAAAATATGAAAAATAAACAACCTAAAAATTTTGCTACTCAAGTCCACCAGTGTTAACCCTGGTGTGTGTGTGTGTGTGTGTATTTTTTTTTTTTGGAGACGTTTTTGCTATAGGGCATGTGTGCTTGCCAGAAAGAGAGAGACAGAAAGCGAGAAATCACCTCCCAGGGGGAGGACGGCCAAGCCGTGATCCCTTCTCCTCCATTCTCCTCTCAAGATCTTGGGCACGCATGCATACATGCCCGGTGTGAGTTTAAGCCACCAGGTCCGGGACTTGAATCGTGGTCGGCTACATGGGAGTCCAGCGACATAGCCATTATGCCAACTGCTGGTCCCAACCCTGTTGTATTTTCTACCTGTCTTTTCTCTGCATGGGAGTATTAAGATCAAGATCACTTGGAAGTACTCACTCTGTTCCCAGCACAGTAATTTTCATGGCTGGAGGTGACCTATAATTGTACTTGTCCAAGCCATCTCTTCACTAAAAGGTGGGAATCGAGGGCTTCCAGTTTTCAGTTGTCTTAAAACAGTCACCTTCGGTAGGAAAGAATTCAGAGGTTGATCATGCCCTTTGCTTTAAGCTTTTTTTCAGGTTGCTCACTTGACTGAAGCTGGAATTTACTCCTGTAAATGTAGGGTACGAAGTCCTTGATTTCCACAGTGAATACAGTCTAGCTCTGGATAACCATCAGGCAGTCTTCTGGTGATAATTTTGAAAACATGCTCAGTTTCCTGTAGGAGCATTCCCGTAACACCTACATATGAAGGACATTTGGATTTTGTGACTGAAATAAGAGCACCCTGAAGATAAGCCTTTAATGGCTTGGCCTGAGTCTTCTGTGGCTGCATGTCTGGTCGAGACTGTCGCCCAGATCCTGGCTGTACTGTTTCCAAAGTTCATGCAGAGGGGAAAAAGACTGTATCTCTGTTGCTTTGGTTTAACGTCAGGACCGCAGCTCCCTCCCCTGCCTGGCAGAAAAGCCTTTGGATTTCTTCTTCTTCTCCATTCTCTTCCAGTGGGTGAAGTACCCTAGTGCCTCATGTTGCAGCCGGCCTCCAGGGCTGGGTCACGCGGGGCAGGGCGTGCTCCAGAAGGGCCTCCTGGAAGGCCAGGCCTGTGCCATGCTGGATTCCGTGCAGCGAACTCTTCGCCCCTCATAGTAGACTACACTCTTCGTTCTTGGACCACATCCACATCTGCATTTTTGCTGCACACTTTGGGAGTACTCCCTGAGTGTGCCATTTGTTTCCACCACTGATGCAGGTGTTTTGCACTGTCTTACACTCGTTCTGGCCTCATAGTGCATGGGTTTAATTTTCTGTGTATAACTGCGGATTTTATTTTACCTTTTGCTGTACCCATGTTTCTACTCATACTTCCTGACGAACGACCCCAAGGTATAATACAGTACAATGTTTTCCTTTTTTCTTGATTTCTTTCTTTTTCTTTCTTTCTTTTTTTTTTTAAGAGGTTAGGGACGCTGGACTCCCACATGGCCAACTGTGGTTCGAGTCCCAGACCTGGTGGCTTGCTTTCTCACTTTCCCTCCCTCTCTCTCTCTCTGTCCCTCTCTGGTCAATTTAAAATAAATAAATAAATAAAGTTAAATGAAATAATTCTTAAAAAAAAAAAAAAGTTGATGGAAATTTATATTCCGAAAAAAATTACATAGATTTCAATATTTTTTTACATCAATATAAATTCCTAGATTAATTATATATTTTCCCATGAACTTGCTGATATTCCCTCATATGTCTCTCTTTATGCTGGAACCGTAGTGTTTTATTTACTGAGCTTTGTAGTTTTCAAATCAAGATACATAAGTCCTCCAGTATTGCTCTTCTATTTTAAGATTGCTTTGGGAGGACCAGCAGTTGGCGTAATGGCTGTGTCATTGGACTCCTAGGTAGTCGACTGTGGTTTGAGTCCTGGACCCAGTGGCTTAAACTCAGGACAGGTTTGTGTGCCTAAGATCCTGAGAGGAGAATGGAGGAGAAGGGATTGTGATGTGGCTATCCCCCCGGGGGGTGATTTCTCGTTTTCTGTCTCTCTGTCTGTCTCTGTCTTTCTGGCAAGCACATGCACCCTATAGCAGAAACTTCTTAAAAAAAACAAACAAACAAACAAAACGAAAGTTTGCCTTGGGTATTTGGGGTTCCTTGAGAATTCCATATGATTTTCAAGATTTTTTTTTTATTTCTGCAATAAATATTGGTATTTTGGTAGGTATTATTATACACAGAGTCTGTAGTTTGCTTTGGGTGATACTGACTTTTTAAAATTTGCCAGAAGGCATGTGTGCTCACTGGAAAGATACAGAGAGAGGAAAACTAAAAAATCACTGTCCAGGAGAGATGGCCACACTGCAATCCCTTCTCCATTCTTCTCTCAAGAATTTGGGCACACACATGCGCCTGGCATGTTTTTCAAGCCACCAGGTCCGGGACTTGAACTGTGGAGTCTTGGCCATGTCACATCCAGTGCCTTATCCCCATGCCACCTGCTGGCCCAGTATTTTTTAATGCTATTAGGAACAGAATTGTTTTTGTAATTTCCTTTAAAATTTTTCATTGTTAGAATTTTAAAAACAACTTATTTTGGCCTAACTTTGTATCCTGTTGCTTTGCTGAATTGTTTTATTAGTTCTGACTTTTTTTTGCGTGTGGAATCTTAAGACTTTCTATATATAATATATCATCTGCAAGGGAAAATAATTTTACTTCTTCCTTTTGAATTTGAATGTCTTTTCTTCCTTCCTTCCTTCCTTCCTTCCTTTCTCTCTTTTGAGCGGTTTTAGCTATAGGGCGCTTGTGCTCGCCAGAAAGACAGAGAGAGACAGAAAATGAGAAATCACCCCCCGGGGGATGGCCACAGCTGCAATCCCTTCTCCTCTATTCTCCCAGGATCTTGGGCCCACATGCACATGTGCCCAGCGTGAGTTTAAGCCACCAGGTCCAGGACTCAAACCACAGTTGACCACATGGGAGTCCAGCGACATGGCCATTATGCCAACTGCTGGTCCTTCTTTTTTTCTTTTCTTTTTTAGAGAGTTTTTGTTTTTGTTTTTGTTTTTGCCATAGGCTGCGCGTGCTTGCCAGAGAGACAGAGAGAGACAGAAAGTGAGAAATCACCCCCCAGGAGAATGGCCACACCACACAATCCCTTCTCGTCCATTCTCCTATTGGGACTTCGGGCGTGCACGCATGCACTCACACGTCTGGCGTGAGTTTTAAGCAACCGAGTCCAGGACTCAAACTGGCAATTGACTGCATGGGAGTCCAGCAGTGTAAGCATTATGCCATCTGTGTAATGGTTAAGTTCTTTTTTAGTTTGAATTTCTTTTTTTCTCTCTCTCTCTCTCTGCCTCTCTCTCTTTTTCAGGGTCGGTCTGTCATGATCCCCTGTCCCAGCCTCCTGAGTAGCTGGGACCACAGGTGTACTCCAGACTCTTTAGACAGGTCTTGTGTTGCTCAGGCCAGACTTGCACTTGATTTTCCTCCTTCAGCCTCCTACGAGGCTGGAAGTGCAGCCTGTGCCCACTGTGTCTGACTTTCAGATTGGACCAGGAATTGAACCTGGGCCTCCTGTGTGGCCTCAGCTTCGGAGCAGCAGCATCTTACCACCACACGTCACCAGGACTGGGTCCATATTGTTTCATTTTCTTACCTGACTACAAATTCCTAGACTGTTGATAAAAATGGCAAAAGTGGTCATGTTTGCTTCGTTCCTGATCTTAGTGTAAAGCTTCCAATCTTTCACTATCGAGTATGATGTTTTCTGTGAGTTTTTCATATGTCGTTTTTATTATGTTGAGATACTTCCTTTCTGTTCTTAGTTCAGCTTCTTTTTCTCCTATCATTGAAAGGATGTCTAATTCTTTGTGTAGATGTTAGAGCATGCATGTACATGATAGAACAGGAGTGTGTGCAGGGTATGGAGAAAGCACCCTCCACGGGGTCTCGTCTGCCCTAATCCCTTTTGCCCAGCTCCCAGCTCTTTAGGATCTCAGGTCCCCATGTGCCCACCTGACGTGTTTTCAGGCCAGCAGAGACCCGGACCCACAGTTGGCTGTGTTGCAGCTAGCACTGCAGTCCAGTACACTGGGCTTAGCTACCTAGGCTGAGCTGAAAGGTGGCGAGTTTTGTCAGATGCCTTTTCTGCATCAGTAGAGATGACCTTTTCTCCCCCTTTATTCTGTTCATCTGTACATTGATTGGTTGCCATGTATAGAAACAGCCTTGCCTTCTAGGAATAAATCCTACTTGGTCATGGTGTTTTTTTGGATACTGTCTTAAAGAGTTTTTTGGTTTTGTTCCATTTATTTTTGTTCAGACGACAGAAAATAGCTTTTGGTTAAAGAAGATAGAAATCAGTGTTTCAGAAGCAGAAAAACGAACTGGAAGAAATGCCATGAACATGCAAGAAACGTACACTGCTTACCTCATTGAAACAAGGTGAGTGATAAGAATTAGTCCTGTGCTTAGGTAGGAAACTTTTTCTGGTAGCTGTTGATGCAAATTCTGTTATATAACAAGATTTTTTTATAGGTCATTGTCTTTTGAGGGATTGATTTTGTTTCTTTGCTTTTTAACATTTAAAATAACCTGCTGTGCCATCTGTTATAGTAGTCTTAGCTGAATTCTTAATTGCATGTTTTGAGGAGAGGGGAAGAGTTACTGGAATACTTTTGGGATCTAGTATGTTACTTGGCACATGTTTTGGTGAAATTCTTGCTTTTAGATTGTGCAATTTTGAAAAAAGGTGCCAGGGTCTTGAGAGTATATGAAGGAATTTAGGTAGGTGGAGACGGTTAAAAAATCTAGGAGTAGAGAATAAAATCTGAGTCATTTTAGGACAGTTGGAGTTACAGAGAAGTTAACAGGAAGAAAAATCAATTGAGACTGGTGCATTAGACTGTGAGGTGAAATATTAATAGAAAGACAAAGCAAATCATGAAGTGAAAAGTCAAACCTCTCCATAAAAATTGTCTCTTAAGGAATTAGAGTAGCTGTTGATCTAGAAAAAGGCAAAGGAAGGCTCTATTTATCAGTCGTAAACAGTTCATATAAAGTATATATTACTGGAGGCCAGCAGTTTAAGGCACTAGACTCCCATGTGGCAAACTGTGGTTTTAGTCTTGAACTTGGTGCCTAGCTTCCTCGCCTTTTTTCTCTCTCTGTAGTGAGCACACGTGCCTGTAACAAATAATAATAATAATACATTTTTAAAATTTAATAAAAAATGAAAAAATGTACCATTTCTGGGCTGGCTGCTGGCAGGGTGGTCAAGGCAGCTGGATCCCATGTGGTTACCCTCATGTTCAAATCTCAAGCCTGCAGGCCTGAGAAACATACCAGGCATGTGTGCATGCATGACTCAAGTCCCAAGAGGAGAAAGGAGAAGAGATTGTGGTTTGTCCATACCCCCTGGGGAGTGATTTCTCATTTTCTACCTCTCTGGCCAGCACACATGTCCTATAGCAAAAACCTAAAAAAAAAAAAGAATCTATTATTTCTTTTCTGCAGAGAACTGAGCAAAAAAGGCTTTGAATGACACAAACAGTTATGGGCTGGCCCCATAGCCCAGTGGTTGAAGGAACTGAAAATTACATGACCAACTGCATGGTTCAAAGCCCAAGTCTTATGGCTTGAAAAACATGCCAGGCACGTGTGTGTGTGTGCCCCAAATCCCAACAGAATGGAAAAATGGAGGAGGAGGAATTGCAGCACATGTCTTGTCTCTGGCAAGCTTATGTGCCCTCTGGCAAATAAAAATAATAATAAAGTAGATATGAAAGAATTTTTTGATAGCCAGTAAAATAAATAGAACTAGCAGATAAGATGACTAAGTATTATCAGCATCTTTTTTTTTTTTGCTATAGGGCACGCCTGCGCTTGCCAGAAAGACAGAGAGAGACAGAGAGACAGAAAGTAAGAAATCACCCCCCAGGGGGGATGGCCACGCCGCAATCCCTTCTCCTCCATTCTCCTCTTGGGATCTTGGGCACGCACACACATGTGCCCGACATGAGTTTAAGCTGCTGGGTCCGGGACTTGAACCACAATCAACTACATGGGAGTCCAGTGACATATCCATTATATCAGTTGCTGGTCCCATCATCAGCATCTTTTGTTTTAGGTTTTCTTTTCTTTTTTACAGTAAGATAACGTGCACTCACTTTAGAGAGACAAAGGTGCATGTGTGCCCAAAATCCTGAGAGGAAATGGAGGAGAAAGGATTCTGGTGTGGCTATCCCCCGTAAGGGGTGATTTATCACTTTCTCTCTCTTTCTCTATCTCTCTTATCCCTTTCTCTCTCTTTCTCTATCTCTCTGGCAAGTGTCCACGCCTTATAGCAAAAAATCTCTGAAAAAAAATAATAAAAAAGATTTTTTAGTGTCTTAGTCTTTGGAATATTCTCTTATTGTGGCAGAGTATAGTTAAAAATACTTTATATTTTGGGACCAGAAGATGGCATAATGGTTATATCACTGGACTCCCACATAGTCAACCATGGTTCAAGTCCCAGACCAGGTGCCTTAAAACTCATGCCAGGCGTGTATGCATGCGTACCCAGAGTCCTGGGAGAAGAATGGAGGAGCATGGCCATCCCCCCGGGGAGTGATTTCTTGCTTTCTCTCTCTCTGTCTCT